GAGAGAGAGAGAGAGAGAGAGAGAGAGAGAGAGAGAGAGAGAGAGAGAGAGAGAGAGAGAGAGAAACAACTTGACTCTGAAAAGTGCATGGGTGGGGTATAAATTACGAAGACGATACCTTCTCGATAAGGTCCAGAACATCTATGTTATCAACAAAGTCAATGTTGTCCCAGTTGATCTCTTCCTTCACGTACTCCTCTTGCTCCATCTTGAAGACATGCTGTTCTCGAAGTTGAGTCAGACATTGGGCACCAAATTTGCACTCAGTTAGTTCGCCCATGACTGCATGCATGTGACTGCAGGCTCTTAGATACGATTCACCTCATTGCTCATGTGCTCCTCTTATTTGTCACCATCTTTCCCACCAATCGCCATGACATACATATGCACACACACACACACACACACACACACACACACACACACACACACACACATCCACACAGATGGATCCATAGGTGGGTGGGTTTGGTTAACATTTATATACTTGTTATTCTGGTTAACATTCACCGGGCTTCTTTGTTGGGACAGGACGCGATGGGATACAACGGGGATGGTTGTGGGACGGGTGGGACGAGTTGGGATGAGATAGGATGAGATGGGATGAGATGCATAAATGAATTAATAATTTTTGTATATTGATATATATGGTCTCTAAGGGGTTTCTGTTCTGTGCTTCTCTCTCTTCTCCTGTTATCTCCTCTCTAAAGAACCAAGGTGGTAACCCGAAACAAGTAATCGAAATGATCTCCTAAGCTCTATCCAATATCCAATGAATTCGTAAAAATAAAACAACTGATCTGTGTTGCATCGAGTACCTGTCCTCCGAGCATGTGCACACAGTTGCGTACTTTTACCCGGTGAAAACGCCGATGTTAGTCTCGTACACACATAGAGGAAAACGAAGCCAAATACATAAAACCACATACGTAATAGTGTGGGAAGTATAAATATGTGGACCGGAACACCTTCACAAATTATTTCATCGCATATATGTAAAGGAAAACGCAGTCAAATATATAAAACCACGACACAAAAAACATGCCCCCACACCTGTAGCCAGTGAAATGGCAGAACTCATGCCCAGATACTCCCAAGTACGCGCATACAGGTACTTGCATACTTGCCCAGATAATCCCTATGAGAGTATGTGTATGCACGTACATGAAGGGCACATACCATGTGCAGTTGGCAAGCACTTGGCCACAAAAGGGCAGAGGGAAGAGAGAGAAGGCGAGGAAACTTAGATCAGGCAGAATAATTGCAAAATCTCTGTACGGTAGGCTTATGGACCCCATCAACTTCCTAGATGTACACCAGCCTCCTTCCTGTTTGAAGAACCATGGCACCGATATGCTCATTCTTTTTCATCAAACATGAGTCAGTGTATGGCAGATGCTTTCGAGTAATGACACAGATCAACCACCTCTGCACGACTTGAAGTCCGAAGACGACCGGTGACTGTGGAACATTTAGCATTAGCAAGGTCGTACCATCTTTTCCTGAACGTGGGGCCATAATATCCTGATTCAGGGCAATCTGATGACAGTGGACACTTAACCAAATAAGAAGAAACACGTCAAGAACATGATGGGTGTGTATGGTGGACTTCGTTAAGTTCACTATGTTGGGGAATGGGGCCTGGAGAGGGTTTACATGATTGGCCATCACATACCGTGTTGAAGTGCTGCTGCAGCTTTTCATTTGTGAGATTGATGCAAAGCTGCTCGAAACTGCAGTCAACGCAAAGGTAGACAAACAGATAAGACAAGTGGAAACATACTCAAACCAACTGGCCCTTCTTCGCTTTTTGTGTGCACAGGAATACACATGCACAGACATACGTGCACACATTCATATGTAAATAATGTCTAAGATTGAATACATCGACATGTCCACCCCCCCACCTCTCTCTCTCTCTCTCTCTCTCTCTCTCTCTCTCTCTCTCTCTCTCTCTCTCTCTCTCTCTCTCTCTCTCTC